ATTTTGGACAAAAAAAAAATTTCAAATCGCGTATTTTTCGAGATCTATCCACCGCAAATAGCCGTAGGTGGTTTAGCCCACTAATTTTTCAAAAAGATGCTTCTTTAGCTCTTAATTTTAGTTTTTTTTATGTATTTAGATGATTTAAACAATCTTTTGAACACTTTTACAACCACTTACGTAAATAGTTTCAAAGAAATAAATATGGGAACCTTATGTTTTATTAGTGAATTTTGATTTTTTTTAATTTTTAATTTTTTTTTTTAATTAAAAAAAAAAATCGGCGCTTAGGGGGTGCCTAACGTGTTTTGCAACATTGCCTAAATGTCTAATTGACTTGTTGCGATTATTGCCAAGAATATCACAGTACAGAGCATGATTACAGTAAATGAGTTTATGTTGAACATTTTGAGTTAAAGAGCATGCTGAATACTTGCTAAGTGTTTGCCAATGAAGAATAGCTAAATTATGATTTATGAGCATGTTTAAAGAATTTTTGAGAATCCACAGTGAAAAGATAATTGAAGTTCATTCTACAGTAAAGTGCATATTTGAGCATACCATGTTTTAAAATGCATAAGTGGCCAAAGTGAGCCTAAGTATTATTTTCAAAAACTCATATCTGTTTTAGAAAGTCATCTTCTTATTGCATTGAGAAATTGTTAAGAAGCTATGTGCATAAGTTTGCATAAGTAAAGAAGTTGCATGAGATATATATATGTTATCTATATAAGTGAGGAAAATCTATGGTTTGGAGGCCCTGTTAGGACTATGTCCTTTCGGAAGAAAAGAGATAAGATCGGATAGAACCGACAAACAGTGAAAGAAAGAAAGCAAAGCAAGAAACGGACATTGCGATCCGATATGAAGTAACGAGGTAGATATTCTCGAGTTACTAGGTTGGAAACTGCCCGCCAGGCTTGGAATCCTGGTCAAGGGGTGTGCACGCTGATAGTTCGATACTTGATTCCACAGAGTTTGAGAAAAGAACAAAGAGAGTGGTTCTACGGGCGAGATGAGTATTAGGTCGGCTAGATGCCGATCCCAGATAGGTCTATCCACCTTTTGGTGAAGTCCTACCTCACCTATGATTAAAGAAAGCAATCGAGTCAAGAGACTCAAGAGAAAGCAATCGAGTCAAGAGACTCGAGAGAATGTAATCGAGTCAAGAGACTCAAGAGAAATAAAGTGAGTCATTGTGACTCTAAGAAACCTCCACAAGAAAAAGTGTTCTTTTACAAAAGAGTGTATATGTATATCTATCTATACTTATACTAAAAGCATCATGTTCATTTTACTGCATGATCAAGTAGATTGCACGAGATTGCATATTGACTATATGATTGCACGAGATTGCATATTGAGTATATGATTGCATGAGATTGCATATTGACTATGTGATTGCACGAGATTGCATATTGAGTATATGATTGCACGAGATTTCATATTGAGTATATGATTGCACGAGATTGCGTATTGAGTATATGATTGCACGAGATTGTATATTAAGTATATGATTGCACGAGATTGAATATTGAGTATATGATAGTATGAGACTGCTTATAGATTATATGACTGCATGAGATTGCATGATGAATGTATGATAGCATGAGATTGCATATTGATTATATGATAGCACAAGTTTGCTTATTGATTTATGTGTTAGCATGAGATTGCTACTAAGGTGTTAGATAGACTTGAGATTGTTGATAAGTTAAGTATGTGATAGTATGAGCTTGATGATAAGCTAGATAATTGTGAAAGCATGCCTATTTGTTAAGTAGGTTGCAAGCATATAGAGACCATGTTAAGCATGTTAAAGTGTTGCCTAAGTGATTGAGAATGCTTGATGAACCAAATGTTTTCCAAAAGTATATATTGTAGTACTTTACAGGGTTGAGTGGAGTTATACTTAGCTTCGTGCTAACGGATTTGTTTTCTACTTGTTGTTTGATAACCCTTTTCAAGTGAGCCCAGTTCGTGAGAGAGTACGAGTTAGACTAGACTAGCATTAGAAGCTTTTGTAGTCTAAACTCTTGATGTTAATCTACTTTTGAGATTTGTAGTTGACTACCCCATGTTTTGATGGTGCTGGACACCGGGGTTTTATCCCCTAGTTATTGAATATTAGTGAAAGTTTGATGTTTTAGTTTTCTATCTTTGCCTGTGCAATTACCGTGAAGGGTAATTGTGGAGGCAACACCTCCTTTGAGTTGTTTAGTCAAGTTTATTTCGTTGCCTTAGCTTACCTTTCAAGGTTAAGTTTGTTAATTAAGTTTAAGAAAAATGGAGTGTTACATAGCTTAAGGCTTCACTTTGAGCCTTTACTGTGCTTACTCTTTAAAAGTGGCAAAATACCCTTTTTGAATGCAAGTTTGTAAAACTGTGGCTTATGCAAGAAATCTCAATAGTTTCAACAATTCTACTAACCATGAGCTAAGCAACACAATTAGCACATTTAGTCAAATAATTCTTGTAAGCAAAAGCCAAACTGATATTTCATAACTTGAACTCGAAAACTATACAAATACTCAAGGACCAATTTCATGTTTTGTCTACTATCATGCTCTTTACTGGGAAGAGGAAATATGTACTGTTTTATACTAGAATCTCAACACTTAGCAAATCTTCTCAATAAATACTTAACAAGTATTGATCATGCTTCTCAAAACATACTCAATTGCTAGCAAAACCTTTTACTGTGAAATAGGAATTTCATACACTAATCATGTCAAATTCTCAATAGCTTAGCAAATCTTCTCAGTAAATACAACAAGTATTTAAACATGCTTCTACATCATTTCTAACAAATATTGATCATGTTTTTCATCTCAAATTAACGAAACTCATATGCTCCCACTTTCCCTTCATTGTAAAACATTTACAGAACACAAACAAAATTCATTTCTCACAATTTCGACTATAAATCATGTATTCTAACTCCAAAATCAACGAAACTAACTTCTACTAGTGCGTCGTAACGAACCCGAGTGTCCAAGCCTCAAGTGCCCACGAGTCCCGGTCCGAACAACGCGCAGCTGAGCCACAGAGGGCCCGGCTAGTAGGCTTTTTGGCCTGGCGGAGCTTGGTGGTAGGGCTTGAGGAGCCCCGCCACTTGGCTCCGCCAAGCGGCGGACCATCTCATGGTTCGTCCCTTGGGATCGTCGCTCCACGGTACTAGCCGACGGACCTCCTCGAGGTCCGTTTGCTAATGCCGTGAGACTATCTGGTGCACACTGTCTGGTGCACCAGAGTCTTTCTCTTCACCTGCAAACAAGTTCAAAGCAATCCAACACTTCCAAATCCTCAACAACACAAACATAGATCAACAATAAATCACTAATAGCTCAACAACAACATTAATCTAACACTTCTAGGCATATACACTTCAATTTAGACTTCACAGAGTCAAATAAAACTAGATGGGAGTTCATATGTTATACCTTGATTTTCTTCTTCTTCTTGAGTGGATTTCCCCTTCCTCACAACTCAGACAACACCTCCTTCACCACCTAACTTCCCTAAACAAACCACACAAACCAACCTTAAGGGAGAAACTCAGAGATTAAAGGTAAAGAATGAAGAAACTAGAAGGAAAATGAGGTGAAAGGATAAGATGAAAGCTAGGAATTTCTTACTGTGTTTTCTTCTTTCCCTTGGCAAACTTAGAGAGTGGAGAGGCAAGAAGGAGATCATGAAAACAATGGAATGATGAGGCTTATAAAGGGTGCAAAACCTTAGGATGACCTTCAATGATTGGTGGAGGGTGAAAGAGTAATTTCAGCTTGTTTTCTAAAACATCAGACAAAGTGGTTGAAGCTCATGGTTCACCTTGCATCATAGACCATAGTCTAAAATGTGATTTTGGATAATTTGGGGTCAAACATAGATTTTCTAAAAAATAGTTTCTAGTTAAAACACTTGGTTCAGGTTTCACAGGTTTCTTTCCGGTTTCACTCAGATTGACTTTTTGGGTCAAAACTTGGTACATAAATGTATCCAAAACTTGGGATTTTCGAATAAGAATAAATCTTGGTGTTGTATTTATTATTTTTTTCAATTTAATGATAGAATTGCATTTTTGCGTTTTGTTCATGACTAATTTGACTTATATTGTTTCCAAATGATTAAGTACTTAAATAAACTAAACTAAGTATTAATTAGCCAAGCACCTTGTCTTGTGCTTAGATGGCACGTCTGTGGCTCCCTTGAAAGAAGTTCACAAGATCGAACTCCGGTGGTGGGGTATTCTCTTTGGACGGCAGTAATTAAAGAAAGTATAATCAATAGTATTTTTTAAAAAAGTATTAATTAAAATGTATTGTAGTCGAGTGGTTAAACATTAAAAAAAAAAAAAAAAATTATTCATAATATGGTATGGGTTTAATTTTCACTAATAATGTTTTGATCTATTATTATTTAAATAAAATAAAAGATGCATGATGTGATAATGACCACGTTAGAAATAGCAAGCGACAGCAAAAAATATTAACATCTCTCAAGTCTCAATACTACACTTCAGTTAGGTAAGGTCTAGTTTTTGTTAATAGCATTTTTTACCTTACATAACAATGATGATGTTGCAAGAATCATTTTTACATTTAGTCCCCCAAGTATTAAAATTCTTAAATTTAGTCTCATAACTTTTAAATCCTTGTCATATTTGGTCTGAAAATCTGAAATTTTAATAGTTGGAAACCAAACAATGATTTAAAAGTAGTAGGACCAAATTTAAAAATTTTAATAGACAAAGACTAAATATGGCATCAATTTAAAAATCATGAGACAAAATCTAAAAATTTTAATAGTAAGGACCAAATGTGAAAATGATTTTAATAGTCAATGACTAAATATGAAAATTATCATACTCGTGACCAAAAGTGAAAATAAGTCAACAAAACAACTACCTCAAAAAAATACCTTACATTCATCATTCACCAGGTTATAAGCACTCAATTTTACATAAATATCGAGAAAAAAAAATTATTTGACTCCAGTCATGACCAAACATATTTCTTATATTGAACGCTATACATATTTCACATGACTTGTTTAGCAAAATCATAACTGCAGATTAGGAGTTAGCATTTGCTTATGTTTTGAAGGATAAGGGATTAAAAGACGTTACAGCCTGCAGCCCTGCAGTACATAATTTGGACTGCCTGATTATACAATAACTATATGAATCTCTATCAAGAGAATACATAGGCAAAAACTCTCTCCAGGATACATGGTAGACAATCAAAATCTGAGCATAAATTTCACATTTATCACAGGGCACATGTAGAATTGTGTATCTAAGGACAATCATTTCTTGGCAAGTAACTTCTTCGGAAGCATCTCCAGAGGCGTGGTTTTCAGAAGGAAAAGTCTGGCCGCACGCTCTTGCAGTGTGCCCCCACATTTCAATCCCCGCACTTGAAGTTCTGATTTCAGCTTTTCCATGCCAAGGGCCTAAAATAAATAAACACAAGGCCGTTTGAATACAAAAAAATCTGCCTTATTTGCTCTTGTTTCGTGATCAAACTCATCAAAGTACAACTACTAGTCTACTACTAACAGATTGGGAAACGAAAAGCTCATATAAGATCCTTGCAAATACGCAACCAGTTTATAACATTGACTCCAGTTGTGATGAGTTACTACTGCCACACACTGGTGACAGACTGCAAATAGATTACTTAAGTGATGGAAAAAATGCATAACACCAAAGTCCAAAACACCACTTGCTGCTATGCGATTATTCTTATGCAATGATGGTATGACCTAAACTTAAGCTATATATTATAAATTATACTCCAGTTGTCAAATTTTCCCTATGTTTTCATGTTAACAATTTATCCAAGTATATCAGTGCAAGATAATTGTATACATATTGAACCTAATCATAGCAGACATACCTCCAATTCTTCAGCTGAAGAAATTTCATCAAAATTCAGGGCCCTCTCCGGATCTGCAACTTTTACAGAACCTTCTCCCTCTTGGACTGCTCCAGCTTTAGGCCTTACATCAGAACTGGTTTCTATTAGAGATGTTCCTTCCTTCCCAGAAGGAGAGTAGCCTGTTTGCTGATCAATAATTTCTTCAGCAACAGGTGAGCCAAAACTATTGGATGCTTCCTTCTCAGCCTTAAAAGTTCCACTTTCAGATGCAAATGAAGTGTCCAGAGGAGGGGCATCTCCATTTTGATGTACAATATCTTGATCTTGGTCTGAACCAAGTTCAGTAACACTTTTGCCTTCACCACTAACCGTACATCCATCCACGATATTGTTAGATTCAGGATTATTCTCAACAACAGTGTCCTTTTCTTCTTCAGAGCCACTCTCACTGTCAATTTTCTGGCCTGTAACCAAGTCCACATTTTCATTTGTTCCCATGCTTGAGTCAGAATTATTCCCACTATCTATAACAACAGATTTTTCATTCTCATCTTCATCGCTGCCGTCCTCATCCATATCCTCACTATCCGAATCATCAAATTTTCTCTTGCCCATCCTATCAAGAAAGAGACAAGAATGCTCAGCACATAAACAGATAGAATTTGAATTACAATTAGAAGTCAAGCAAAGTAATTCTGAAAAACTGGGTTTCAGATTTCAACTCATACATCAAAAATTTATTCATTGCTTTCAGAATTAACTACTTAATAGACTAACATTAATTAAACAACTAACTTAACAACTTTAGAGGGCGTTTGATAGCCAAAAAAATTCAAACTTCCCTAGGAATTTAAGTGGTGGAAAAATAATTCCAACGTTTGGTGGGATCTTTAACTTAAGAAAGTTCAGGTTAACTGTGAATCCAATTCCATGATATAAAGGAGAATAAACCCATCTAATGGGTAGGATTCTTTTTCCCATTTATTCAATTATGTATTTATCCTTTTTAGCACCCGATTAAAAGTCTCCTATAAATAAAAGAAATTTGACTTCCCACCATTACACATTGTTTTTCAAAGTTGCATCTAGGTACAGAGAGTAGGTATTCTTGACTAGTTTTCTATATCAAATATAATCTTCAACAATGATGCATGTCTCTTCCTTTTGGATTTTATTTACTATATCTTGAAAAAAGTTTTCATGTATGTTTGTAATCTGATTTCTTCCTAGGAAGGATAACACCAAACATAGCAAAATTATTCTCATCCCCTACATTCCTAAGGAAATATTTCCCCATCAAATACATCCCTAGGAAATATTTTCCCAAGAATATAATTGATGGGAAAGTACCAAAGCCCTCTAAGTGCCATGTTTTAATTGTAACCCTTTACATTTCTGCAAAAATAGTGTAAGGATAAAAGCAAAGCAGCCATAAATCTATAATGAATTTTGATTTCACAATTTAATAAAAAACAGATTTTGAAAACTTTTGAACCAGAATGTCAAAGGCCTTACCATATCTTCAGCTTCTTAGAATCTGAATCATTCAGTTCAGCAGCTTTCCTTTTAGAACTGACGAATCCCTTAAGCGATTCCCTCACCGACCTCTCGACTTCCTCCATACACTTTGCAGAATCCTCTCTATACTTAGCCACATACTTATCGGCGCTCTCCCCAGTCTTACTCCGGCTTCCGCTTCCCTTCTTCGCCAACTCTTTTGCCTTCTTGTTGATATAATCCTCCGCCATCTTCTCAAGCTTCCGCTCCTCCGCCTCCGCCTTCCACTCCTCCAATCTCTTCTCGGCGTTCACGTGCCTCAGCCTCCTCCCACTCATGTCCCGACAGGCATCGAAATTGTTCGTCTTTTTCTGCCCCGCCTTAGTCGCCGCCCCTCTAAGCAACGATCCGAATCCACCTTTCCCTCCCCTCAACCGCAATAAGACATTCACAACCACGGGAAATTTGGACTGCTGGTGTCCGGTTGTGAGATTGAGTGTTTGGTTGTCTTGAAGGAGGTAGGGTGAGTCGGAAGGGATGAGAAGTTGGAGATGGGTGGGGATTAGAGTTAGGGTTTGAATTCTGTGTTTTAGGGTTTGGATAGATACGGATGGAGTGGAGAAATTAATGATTCTGTGCTTGCCGTCGAGGAGCTTGACAAGCACTTGGTGGATTCCGGCGGCTTCCATCGTGAGTTTTCCGGTGGGTTTGGAGAGACAATTCGATCGAGCGACGGAAAGAATGAAAACTGTTGGCTCTGACCGACTATATATCCAAGTCCCTGACCGTTTTTATCATTTTTTTTAAAGAGCTAATTCCAATTTTGGTTCTATTTATAAGTGGGGCAATTCCCTTTTTATCCTTTTATTTCAGAACATTTTTTCTATCCTAGTCCTAGTATAACTACGAGTCCCACACAATAACAGGGTAGTCTTGGTTTTATTTTCAATAAATAAATAAATATTGTTAGGATTGCCAACACGTATCCGGCAATCCTTAGGTCGCTGGTTCGAATCCGGCAAGTTGGATTTTTCGTCTTTAAATATTTACGTTTATCCTTAAACGCGAGAAATTTAAAAATTGTTAAAAATATTAAACGCTATTGCCAGGGATAAAATCAATTGGGATAATATAAAAATGGAAAAGCCATCCATCCAATTGGGATGTTTCATGACTAATGGCAAAGTTGGTGTAAGTATTTCAACACTTCTATGGCCAAGCCTAACACTAAATTTGATAAATATATATATATATATATATATATATATATATATATATATATATATATTTCTTCAAAATCTTAATCAGGATTAGAGAAATCACCTCAGATAGATTGCAACAAAAGATAGGATTACAGAGTATATCGATGAAAGAAACTCTAACTAATCCTAACTAATAGAAAAGGCTAAGTCAACTAATCTATCACCACTAGAATACAAACTATACAATATAGAAATAATAATAATAATAATAATAATAATAATAATAATAATAATAATAATAATAATAATAATAATAATAATAATAATAATAATAAGATAGACTAACACACCCCCTCAAGCGCAAGGTTGTAAGGAGACAACATTGAGCTTGTCTCGTAAAGCAGCAAACCTCGGTGCCGGGAGCGGTTTGGTGAAGATGTCTGCAAGCTGGTCCGTAGTAGACACGTAGTTGACGACGAAGTCCCCGGAGGCCACCTTGTCACGGACGAAATGATAGTCAATTTCTACATGCTTGGTGCGAGCATGAAACACCGTATTAGCACACAGATAAGTGGCGCCAAGATTGTCGCACCACAACGTGGAAGGCTGACCAGAATGCATACCCAACTCTCGTAGTAAAGACACAACCCAGGTCACTTCGGCAAAGACGTCAGCTAACGCTTTGTATTCAGCTTCAGTAGAGGAGCGTGCCACAGTGCGCTGTTTCTTGGATAGCCAAGAGATAAGATTAGAGCCGAGATATACCGCGAACCCACTCGTACTTTTCCTGTCTACTGGGCAACCCGCCCAGTCTGAGTCCGAAAAGGCATGTATGCTGGTCGAGGCGGAGGGTGTGAGGTGGAGCCCGTATTCAAGGGTCCCCTTGATGTACCGTAAGACACGTTTCACAAGCGCCCAATGATCAACAGTCGGTGTGTGCATGAACTGGCACAGTCGGTTGACTGCGTAAGCCAAGTCAGGACGAGTGATGGTTAAGTACTGTAAGGTGCCAACTATCCGACGATACTGAGTCGGGTTGTCAAATAGTTCTTCAGTCGGTGTAGCTGGCTTGGTGACAGCAGCTGGTGTAGTGAGGGGCTTGCAGTCCAACATCCCTGAACGGCCTAGGAGATCCGACATATAACGCCGTTGGAAAAGAATGAAGCCTTGACCTGACGCAACTGTCCCTATACCCAAGAAGAAACCAGGAGATCCTAGATCCCGAATTTTGAACGTAGTGGATAGACGCTGTAACAGTGAAGTTACTAGGTTGGCGTCGTTGCCCATCATTATAATATCGTCGACGTATACCAACAAAAACACTCGGGACTCCCCAGCCGAGTAGTAAAACAAGGATACGTCGGTTTTGGATGATTTAAAACCTGCAAACAACAGAAAATCGTGAAGACGCTTAAACCAGGCTCGTGGGGCCTGTTTCAAGCCATATAGGGACCTCTGTAGATGACACACGTGCCCGGGTGTCGTAGGGTCCTCATAACCTGGAGGTTGCTTCATGTACACAGTTTCTGCCAAATGACCATTAAGGAAGGCATTGTGGACATCTAACTGACGTAGAGTCCACTTGTTGGATACCGCAAGAGAAAAGAGCATCCGAACTGTGGTCGGTTTGACTACCGAGCTGAATGTGTCAAAGAAATCTTCTCCTGCTACCTGATTGAACCCTTTCGCCACAAGCCGGGCTTTGTACCGCTCAACTGAACCATCAGCGGTGCGCTTCGTGCGAAAAACCCACTTGCAGCCAATGATGTTCATGTGAGGCTGAGGTGGGACCAACCGCCAGGAGTTGTTATGCAGTAAGGCATTAAACTCCTGGTCCATAGCCTCACGCCAATGTGCGTGACCCACTGCTTGTGAGTAGCAAGTCGGGTCTGCAACTGTAGTCAAAGCATGAAACGGCTCGTCTGTGCCCTTTGTCATGTTGCGAAGATGCATAACATGGTCATGGGGCTGGGGTTGTTTGCGAGACTTCCGTGCTTTTGCCGGAGCAGTATGTGTTATAGCCAATCGTGGAGACTCACGGGCTAATGGAACCGGTTCAGGGCCTGTAGGTGCAGGTGAGTCATGTGGAGCCGGGGGCGGTGTCGTGTCCGAAATTGGACCATGTGACACTTGTTGAGAATAATCTATAGCAAAGGGGAAAACAGACTCGTCAAAGCGGACATGACGACAGATATAAGTCTTTCCGCTAATTAGATCAGTGCACCTATACCCCCTAAAGGACGGTGGATAACCTAAGAAGACACAAGGTGCGGAGCGATACTCAATCTTGTGCCGGTTATAAGGCCTTAGATATGGGTAGCACCGACACCCGAAGACACGAAGGAATGTGTATGGGGGTGCAGTTTTAAATAGACGAGTGTATGGACTCACATTGTTTATGGCCGATGAGGGTAAGTAATTGATTAAGGTATTTGCCGTTTCAAAGGCATATTCCCAATATTGGAGGGGTACTTTGCCTTCAGCAAGTAGAGTTAAGCTTGTTTCGACAATATGCCGATTGCGCCGCTCTACTCGCCCGTTTTGTTCATGTGTATAGGCGCAGGACTGACGGTGGTTTATCCCTAAGGTTTGGAATATGGTGTGCAATTTTCGGTACTCACCCCATAGATCAGATTGTATAGATTTGATAGAACGCGCAAACTGGCGCTCTACCAAGACACGGAATGACTCAAAAACTTTATATATGTCTGATTTTACCCGTAATGGATAAAACCAGCAGAATCTTGAGTAATCGTCTACAAATAAGCAAAAATAACGAAAACCACTATTAGATATTACAGGAGAAGGACCCCAAATATCTGTAAAAATTAAGTCTAATACATTCATAGTGGAATTCGGAACACTATCTAATTTGAATCTGGACGATTTTCCCAAGTGACACGATGCGCACGACTCAACTGGTGCTACGTTATTGCTCGTGGCGGGACAGGTTTGGAGTATTTTATTTAGAACTTGCTTGTGCGGGTGTCCTAACCGGCGATGTCACGTAGTGGGAGTGGCCCGGGAACTGACGAACGCAAAATTTGGCTTTGACACCGGGAGTTTGTACAACCCGCCTGACGTTGGCCCCTTAAGAAGTACTGCTTTGGTTGTGGAGTCCTTCACAATAAAGCAGTTATCATGAAATTCAAAAAAAAACATTGTTGTCAACTGTAAATTTATGTACAGAAAGCAACGGAACAGAAAGATTTGGGACATGCAGGATATTATTTAGATATAGAGATTTTGACACTGATGGTATAGTTACACGACCAATTCGCGAAATAGACAAACCTGCCCCATTATCCACTCTTAAGACATCTGATACGCCATATTCATCCGATTGCCCGAGCATGTTTGCGTCCGGTGTGGCGTGAGCGGTGGCGCCGGTGTCCGGATACCACCCATCCGCCGGGACGACGACCGAAGACGCCGGTGCCTCGCCGGACATCGCAACGTGCGCCTGGGGTTGCGGTGGCTGCGTTGTGTATCTTTTATAATAGTACACTGCCGAATGCCCGTGGGAACGGCAGATCTGACATCTCGGCGCACCCCTACCGCCACGGCCTCCTCGGTTCTGGCCGCCGCGACCTTGCCGGCCACCACGCGGCTGTTGCTTGGACTGATGCTGCCGGCCACCTCCATGCGAGCCACGGCCTGCTCCTGCGTACAAGGCTGTGTGCCCAGCTCCAACATCAACCGAGGGATAGTCATCCACCAGGATGAATTCGTGTGCCTGCAGGAAGTCGGAAAGGTGAGTGAGGGTGACCAGTGCGCCGGTGGCGGTCAGCGACGTGGCCAGCGATTTCAGTTCCGGACGGAGACCCCGGATAACGTATAGATTCTGTTCCATCAAGGTGAGCGGCCGGCCAGCTTGGATCAAGGACTCAACGAGGACTCCGGCTCTGCCTAGGTAGTCCGCCGTCGACGAGTTGCCCTGGCGCAACATTTGAAACTGGCTGAGCAGCGTCAGGCACCATGCTTGACTGGATGATCCAAGAGCGCCGGTGACGGAGGTCCAAATCTCGGCAGACGTCTCTCGGCCAAGTGCAAGGTGAAGGACATCGTCCGCCATGGAGGACACCAACAGCGACACGATCGTCTGATCCTGCCTAATCCACGCATGATACTCCGGGTTTGGCACCGGAGTGGGTTCGGCAGACGTCGTGGTCGAGTCGCCGGTGGAGGAGGCGGCGGGGACAGTCGCCGGTGGGCATGGATGAGTGCCGTCCACGAAACCCAGGAGATCCTGACCGCGGAGGAAGGAGAGGAGTTGCATCCTCCAGAACAAAAAGTTCTTCATGGTCAACTTCATGGTGATGTAATGGTAGGCGCCGGAGAGGTTGTTGCCGGCGGCCGGCGACTGGGTTCCGGCTGCGGATATGGTACGTTCGGATGATGCCGACATTATGGGGTCGAAGATCGATCGTCGAACAGGGTGAGGGAGGGAAAATTGGTGGTGGAGGTTGGAGAGGATCGGATAACCTGTCTGATACCAGATTAGAGAAATCACCTCAGATAGATTGCAACAGAAGATAGGATTACAGAGTATATCGATGAAAGAAACTCTAA